ATCTGGTAGCAGTAAAAATGATGAATTGAATGTAAAATTGGTTGTCGAGTTTAAGTTGAATGCTATATTTGATACTAAATCGATTTTTGTGGAAATCCTTTGAAGCCGCAGATTATTGCTTTTTGTGTCCAGATATGATCTTTTTATATATATTTACTATAATGAAGCCAAATTAAATGTGACAAAAACACGGCTTCATACTGTTATTCTTTTAATTACAATTTATCTTTTTGGCTCTGCCGAAATTTTCTTATGTAAATCTGAGCTGTTTAATTTTTGTAACACTATACCATGCCGATGGCTCGAAGTGGCATCTGTTAAAATTATCCTTATCCGGTGTGCATCATCTAATTTATGAACTTTGTTTTTGCCACAGTATCTTACACTTTGTCTTTTTTGTTTAGAAATTCAAATCAAAAGGAATAGCTAACAATTACCTGAATTAAACGAATGGAGTTTTATTTTCAAAACTTAGCAAAAGAAGTGCTTGAATGATGGCCAAATCTGGGCAAACAAGACAAAATCTATTTTTGTTTCATATACATGTATATTTTGTTTTTTTCCGGAGTTAACAATATCCCTGACGGATTTAGCGATAATTGGAAAGAAGCGAAATTCAATAAAATTGACCCTTATCAATCAGGGCTTTTTCCTCTCACGGAAACAATTTCTTTTCATTTTTCTTTCTCGCAGTGCCGCAAACATTGTGTCCAGTGTACGTATCACAGATAGATGGATTTTGTGACTTCTTGGGAGGGAATCTTGCACATTATACTGATACGTAAATGCCATACAGCTAACTGCTCTCAAACGTAAAATTTGCTAAGGATTACGCCATTCAGTCCGCTATCGAATAATTTGGATTCTGATTTGCTTCAGAAATTAACGATTTATTAAAAAAAAAGAAAAAAATCCGCTATAAATCTGAAACTCACTTCTTTTTTGCAATCTTGAGAATAAAATTGCAATCAAAATGGAAATGTTATGAACAACACATTACTGAGCATTTCATTGCAACAGTTTTAAACATGTTGAAGTTCGACGAGAGAAGATTTTAGAGCCGTACATTGGTGATCAAACAAGACCTACCTCTTTGAACAACATTGGGTGGATTGTTTCGTGTAGCTTACAGCTTAATAAGGAAAGCCAGTGAAAGGAAATTCTTTTACTCTGGAAGTGACGCATTATAAATAAGTAAAATTTCCAAAAGAAAGCTAAATATACTAAGAGAGTTGTTGAGCACTCCTCTTTCATCAGTAGTTTGCCAAGCCGATATGTAATACTAGTTAATTCTTATTTCCTTTTAGTTGTATTAACCCCTTAGAGAAACGACTGTATAAGTATAGGTAATAGCATGATTTGTAGTGACATTTGGCATAAATAGCAGGAGTGATATTTCAAAATTGTGATACAATTGAGACAATTTTGTAATATCACAAGTGGTAGTCATGCCAAATATCACGATATTTGGCATATTGGTTTCTTATTCAGATTCATCTGCTTTTACTTCATCCAAGCATGACACACTCCTTGTCTTTTTGATTAGGGGGATTATTTTCGTCGAAACTAAAATAACAAAATTAAATCCTGACCCTCTTCTTGTTGCATAATTGGATAGCTCCTGCCCGCTATCCGTATTATTATTTGCCAATCGGCGCGTAATTAATCGGCCTGATTTTATAAAAAGCAAGCACTGACATTGTAAAGGTCAAAATGAAGAGGAGTAAACCGTTAACAATGATGCAAATGTTCACTTTATGTTCAAAGTCGTAATGTTATTGTCAAACGACTTACATTTCAAACAATTAAAAAGAAATGTCAGTAAATAGACAATGTAATCAGAAGCAATCAACTTTGAACGAAGAATGAGTTTATAACTGGGAATCCGCGCAAAATCCAACAATACAATGATTCGCGGCAAGCCTAAAAGAAATCAAACTTCCTTTTCTTTTGCTTGGTGGAACAATTTCATGTTACAAAGTAAACGAACGCCATATAAATTAATTCGAGCTTCGGCGACGTAAAACTTGGCATACACTAAATATCATATAATATAAGTTTTTGAAAAGCGAAATATGAGGGTAAAGCCCTCTGCCGTTACCCTTTATGGTGGTGAGAATTAGCTGTGATTTTTATTAAGTTACCCTTAAAAAAAAAAAAAAAAAAAAAAACGATAGTCGCCTTACCGTGCGTATAATATTTTTTCTACCTGTATAACGTATAATTTCCACTGGGTCATTTTTGCATTATTTTCCATCGGATAATTTCCTTGTGTATATAACTCTGTTACTGAAAGACCATTAAATATTGCGTCGATGGAGCTAAATGACATTTGCTTTTCGCATTTCTTCCGTCAATCTTACGTTCTAAAAGAACGTTTTTAAAGACAGCTCTCAAAACGTTTATTAAGATAGCTTGTACAAGAGAACAAAACAAGAAACGTTATCTTGAGATCTAGCATGATCTGGAGTCCCGGTAGCATTGGTGGGCCAAATTGCAATTGTAGTTTCACCTCTGCACTTCCAAATATTTTTGCACTTCCACTTTTAAGTCCTGGTAGTGGTCAATCTTTTCCCGTTCTTCAGGTTTTTCTACTATGTGTGTATCATCAGCAAGCCTCATCGGCTGTGGAACGCACCCTGCCCTCTTTTTCCAGCAGCTAAATATTAGGTCTGTTATGAACTAAATAACAAGCTGGTTTAATTAAGCGGTAATCTGTAAACTTGCTCTGGAGAGTTGTTGACAGTTTTATTTGCTCTGCGATTGAACTTTCGGGGAAGGAAAGAACATCCCTGACCTTTTCCCACGTTTTGAACGGTGTTGGATTGTTTCTTGTTGTATTGCAGTGTTTACGGGTCACACCTTGCACAGCAGCAAACAATGGGGATGGGGAAAGGGAAGGCTTGCGTTTCCTTTGTGGACGCGACGAAGTAGATACATATAGCAAGAACGCGAGATGTATCGTCAAAGATTAATAACATGTATCAAGTAATTGTGCCACCGATTATGATTTTTTTAAGGCTATTTATTACAAAGGGGTAGGTTTTGTCAGCCTAATATGGTTAGCGAATTTTCTGCACGAGAACCTTTCTCTAATATGACGTTTGCGACAAAAAGAAGAAATGTAAGATAAAGTAATTATTAATAAAGTAAACTAGAAAAAAAAAAAAAGAATAACAACGTTCTTGTTTCCGGCCAGAATTGAACTGGCGACCTTCCGCGTGTTAGGCGGACGTGATAACCACTACACTACGGAAACCACAGTTAACAAATTCTCTACTGTTTATTTGTTTTGTTTGTTTTGAGTCTATATACGATTAAGCAGGAGGATGAATAATGATGAGGCTAGAGAGGTATTGCCTAAATCTGCGAAGGAAAAACATATTTTACGGTGTCAAAATAACAACTGGAAGAATTGCGAGGCGGTAATAATGGACCGAGTAATGTAGCCTCAAGCAGACCATTTTTCAGTTGTTTAGTTAGTACCCTAGCCTTCAATTGAGTGCGAGGCCGAGATTGGCCTTGTTTTGATACAAACCTTTTTTTTTTCCTCATGGAAATTATAGTTGAAAAATACAGGTTTGCATGCTGGAACAACATGGGCTCGAAAAAGTAGGCCACTCGCCCAAGATGCGCCATTTTCAAGCACAACATACGCAAGTAATTTGGAAACCTAAAAAAAGGAACCCTAAAAGCCAATTGGATCGATATCATAACCGTGAAACAATGGGAAAAAATCATAAATTAAAACTTTTTATTGTTTCTGCGACCCATTAGGAAACAACTTACGAGCAGCTCCTACATACATTACTAAAAATAATGGTTGCCGGGCGTAAAAATATTAAAGGGAGTAAAAATGTTTCGAAAATCACTTTTAAAATTGGCCTCGAACTGAAAAAGGCCGGTATTTACGTATTTTCGAATTTAAAAAGATAGTTCTTATACTTCCCTTAATTCCTTCTTTTTTTAGCAGAGCAACTGCGCGCACGAGGTGTGCGCTGCGGAACCCCATACCTAGAAGAAAATGGAAACCTATCGAAGAGAGAAAATTTATGAGGTCGGCGTACTCCGTCCGTCCCTACAGACTCTGGGGGGAGAGGTGAAAAACTCAGTAGGGTAGGGATGGGAGTCCCAAACATATATGTCGCGTTTCGTTTTGGCGCAAAATTAACCATTTTGGGGCAACCAACGGATTCGCTGAATTAAAAATCTAGATTAAATTTTGTTGTGTTCGCCTTAAAACAAAATTTTTCGAAATAAATTTCAAAAGCCTTACTTTTTAGTCACGGTTTTGGTCACACTCCAGCAACAATCTAGTCCCGCTGCCCACTTGGTCAAAATTTGGACAGGTGAATTTATGGGTGAAAATTTACTCAGTATCTTAAAATTTGTTTGTCGACAGACTGCTTGCCGACACTAAAGCCTTTTTTTTATTCCAGTTAAGTTTCACATTGTAAAATTACCGTGTTCTTTTGCCACTGCCACAAAATGAAAATACAACTGCCGTCACAAAATGAAATATAGCTGCTATCAGGATTCAATTTTCGGTTATTCGAAAGTGGTTTGTTTAAAGGCCCATTGCCAGCCTTGACGCAGCGCAATCTTTTGTTTTTGTTTTGAAATCGCGCTTTTGTAAATGGCGTGCTTTGATTGGTCTACACTTGTGCCAAGCTTTCTTGCAAAAAGACAAAATATTCAGCTGTAGTCGCGTCGGCGTCGTGTTTCTCCTTTATCACAGTTCACCTGCAAAGTCAGTAAATGAGTATTGTGTCTTCGTGGAAGTGGATGAGACGTCAATTGTCATTTCCTGAAAGAACCGTGCTCAGCTCCGTCATAAGGGACTTTACGATCGGACTACGTGACGGCAGCGAAAATGTCGCTTCAAAAATGAATTTGCGTTCTTTTGGTCTTTATCGCGATTATTCCAGCTCACTTACTTTGTCAAATGTAGGCGAACGCTGCCGGAGTTGAATTTTTAAGAAACATATTCAAGTTTAAAA